TTCTCCAACCTCCTCCAGTCCCACTCCGATACCCTGGGCTTCATAGCAAGGCTAAGGTGGGTCCTGAGTGTGGAAAACTGCCTCGGCTGCTTTCATCCTCTTCCATGGGGCAAGAGGTGGGAGAAAGTGGCAAGAAGAGGTTAAATGTGGAAACCAACTGGGGTGGAGGGAGGGCTGCAGTGGTGGCAACCAGAGGAAGGCTGATATCGCCTCCCAGGCATCTGTGGTGGCCAGAGGAACATGAGAATCCTGGCCACCTTCCTCCTCAGGATGATGTGCAGCCCTCTCTAGTCCCCCTGTGCTTGTGAATGGAGGATGCTTATCCTGGAAGCTCTTCCATTTGAAACTTGTTTTTATTGTTTATTACATCATTTTAATACAGGCAACTGGAAGGACTTAATTTGTCAAAAATCACTGGAATAATTCAGATGTTGCTCTATGTCAGTTTCCTCCCCCCCCCACCTCGTTGTTTATTTATTTCAGCTCAACCACTTGAGAAATCCATTATTTTCCTGCTTCTTATTGAGTATCTAATGATGGAAATAAATTGTTACCGCTCTTTATTGTGCATTTCCCATAAGGCTGACACGGCACAGAGAAGGAACCAGATTCTTTTCCTTCTAGTACGACACTGGGAAGGTTGTTTATAGCGCTTCAGCTCCAGCCCCCTGTGAGCCAACCAAGAGCAGGATCATTAAAGGCAGGATTTAGAGGCTGTGGGGTTGCATAAATTAATTGAGAGCAAAATTTGTCAGACAAACATTTTGTAATAAGTGAGGAGGGAGTCAGGTACCCAGCAGTTAGCTGGAGGAAAAGATCCTCTTACAAAAAAAAAAAAAAAAAAAAAAAAAAAAAAAAAAAAAAAAAAAAAAAAAAAAAAAAAAACACAACACACAAAAAACCCAAAAATAAAAAAAAACGCATCAATACTGAAACACAAATTTCATTTCATTTGAAAGTCATTCGTTACCTCTAGTAAGTGTGAAAAACATAGTAGTTAAGAAGCTGAGGACCTTTCTTTGTAATGATTTGCTATTCTTTTTCTTTTCTTTTTTTTTTAATTTTTTTTTTTACATAGAAGTAACCATATCAAACTAAGAAAGGAACACAGCTTGAAATACTGACAATATTTCTCTGGTCAACACCCCTGACTTTTACACAAGTGGAATCCTGATTATGAGTTACTGAATAAATATATTTAGAAGGTCTAAAAGTTAACTGTATTATTTTGTAAGCAAAAAAGAGACGAGTTACAGGCAAATTCAAGCTATAAAAAAAAAAAAAAAAAAGAAAGAAATGAAATGATCTTGCCTTGTTTGGAGATCAGAGAGCCAAATATAGACCCTATCGTGTTTCCTTCCCTCCTCCTTCCGAAGCTCGTCCTTTTGAAGTGCACTTTCAATGGGATGTGGATAATTGACTCCGTGAACAACCGACCGACTGCTCTGTTGGTTTAACCGATTGGTCTCAGTTGCTGATTCCTGTTTTGTTTTGGATGATTTTCAGCCCAATTGCCCCGTCAGCTACAATTAGTCCCATTAATATGACAGCTGAAAGGTCACAGATGACTCGCTCTGTGACTTGCAGGCACAAGGGCAGCCAGGAGATGCTCACAGCAAGTTGTTCTCAGCTCCGTGGTCGCGTGGCAATAGCTTGGCTTAAATTGATGGCAATTGCCAATCCTGGCGTAAAACCCACCAAAAGGGACGTGAGGTTTGCTTCACGGGAGGGTGATTGACTGAGAAATGAGGCTATTATAACAAGTAACATTTGGATGAACTTTTCTTTAATTAGACAAGAAAGCTCCTGGTTCTGTTTAAAGGGGAAATGTGGAATGGCTGGGCTTCCTCTCACCCACCAGAGCCGTGAGGAAAGGAAGCAGAAGTGGGATGGACTTGTAAGTGCATCCTGTGGCTCTTTCAACAAATCCGTGGCTGTCATTTTCTGTGGCTTCAGTGGCATCTGCCATGGTTTTGGGCTTTGTCTCTTCCACCCAGGATTTACCCTTGGGGGAATGAAGTAAGAAAGGGAAGTGGAGATGAATGGATAGAGCACAAGGGTTTGTTTGGCTTCTTAAGCTTAAAAGGAGCCAGATGCCTGGAGATGCGGGTCAGACATTGGACTCATGGGTCTTGTGGTCTTTCTTTGGCCATGGTGTGGCCAGAATGGTATCAGAGAAGATGTAGTCTGATTGTATACTTGGTCTTTTGTACAAGAAAGGAGACATAAGGCACTAAAAGTGCTTGGATGAGCTAATTGTTGAATTAAACAGCCCCAAAACCCGGTTGGAAGACCCCAGTTGGAGACGGTTCACTCACAAAGCAGGGGGCTCTGCCTGGTGAGGGTCTGCGAGCGTCTGGTTTTGGTTGGCTGTTATTTGGTGTTTTCCTTAACTGTTTGGATGATGGAAAAGAGAATATGTGGCTTCAATTTGCAGATGACCTCCAGCTGGGAAGGGCTCGCAGCAGCCTGGCTGAGAGGGTCAGACTTCAAGATGACCTTGCATAAGCTGGGGAAGTGGTATGAGAAGGACAATTTGTGGTTTGATGAAGACAAGCATAAAGTTTTACATCCTGGCAGAATCTGTGCCAGTGCAGCATGGGGACTGTCTCCAGCAGGTGAAAGGATGGCATTAAAAAATGCAAATAATTTATGGATCAGGCAAGAAACAGCATCATGAACTTCAAACAGCGTCATTTTGGTTCAATAGTGGGAGAAACTTAAATGATAAAGACAGGAGAATATGAGAGTAAACCATCAAGAGAGGCTTGAGTCTGCTTCCCAGGAGATGTTTAAGAATTAGTGGGGCAAACTTTTGTCAAGAGTGACATAGGTATATTTGATGCTGCTGCTGTGAAGCACAGGTTGAAGAAGGTCTGCAGATCTTGAGACAAAGTGACTATTTTGCCCACCCCTTTTGTTTTACTAATGAAACATCACTATTTCTATGAGGAGCATGTACTTTGTGAAAAGTCCATTGACCAGGAACCAGAACTCAAGCAGTTTTGTGGGAGTTTTGAAGCCAGCCCATATGCCCTGCCATCATGGGCACAAATTCCAGTTGAACGAGCTCAGATCTGGTCTTGTGGGAGTATACAGCCTACACAAATCCCCCCTTTATTTCTCCAAAAGCTGTACTTTCTGCAGAAACCCATGGGGTCGAGAGGTCAACGTGTTGCTCTGAGTTTATTCACTTTAAATCTTGTCTGGGACTTGTTCCTAGTGAAGATAGCTGGTGGTTCTAAAAAGCCTAGCAGCAGGAGACCTTTTCTATCAGTTTATTTCCATCCATGTTTGGCCAACACAATGAATGCAGATGTAGTAGGAAACTTCTGATTATCTATAGGATTTTTCTGTGACAACATCAAAGCTCTGTGGTTAGTTATACTCTGATACTTTAAATGGATATGTCTTGCGTTCAGAGCTCTGATTTAATTTTCCGGTTTAATCTATTGTCCAAATGACATTAATGTTGTCTTTGAGGCGTGGAACAGCTTTGATGGAGACTTTTTTTAATTTCTGGCCATCATCCTGCACAGCCATAAACAACATCCTGCCTGTTAATGAGAAAATTCAAGTTATTGCAGTCACATGTCTTGTGGAGAAAGATTATAGTGGCAGGAGGAAAAAAGGAACCGACTTTGCTCACCCCCCACCCCAGCTGGCACGAGCATTTGGATTACTGACAGGGAGGACAAGTTTCCACAGGTTAAGATACTCCATTAAAAAGCAGTCTTGTGTGTTGAAAATGAAATTATTCATTTAATGGACACATCATTAATTCCTTAACCTGCTTTTCCTGAGTTGCCTTTTCTACCTATAAGCATCTAAAACCTTTCCTAAGAAAGGCCCTGATGGCACATCAGCTGGGCTCAACTATTGAGTTGGGCTCAACTATTCACAAATCCAGATTTGTGGAAGAATTCGACGTGTCTTTCCAACATGAAGTGAGGGAGCAGGATCCTCCATTACATACCCAGTAAGCCAATTGCATGACGTTGACATCCTACCCATCGCATTCCCTTCTTGCCCGTCTTTTGTAAAACTTTTTGTTTGGAAGGCAAAACCTGTATGTGTGCATGTAACCTTGGAAAAACTTGGCAGAATTTGGTGTGGAGAGTGGGGCACAGCCCAAGGTCTCGGCATTTGGTCCTTGCTGCACCGTGATAAACATCTGCAGAAGATTGGAGAGAAGGGTGGCTGGTTGTGATGCACAGCCCCATATTTAGCCTTGTTTTGGAGGTGATCACACAGGAACAGGAGAGTGATGGCAGCAGGAGGGTAAGTGCGCAAGGCAGCATCAGAGCACTGGGCAGTTTTACAGCACCTTATTCTTTCTCCACGGGGAAACTTGTCTTGTAGGGCAGAGCCCACCCTGCAACAAACTGACTTTATTGGCTCTGGCCTCGTTGGCGACCAGTGTATAAACTGGGTGTGTTGATAGCAGCTTCAGAGCATGGGCACATCTCAGGTCTTGTCTGTTCAGGAGCTTGACTGGCAGACACACAGAATTGAGGATATGGTGTGAGGGCTTGCTCAGGGATGCAGTTGTCTTATGGCAGCATAATTCTGCTCTATTTGGAAACAGGATTAAAGTGGCATGGATAAATAGGTATAAATACTGGCTGATCCCCGCAGACAGTATTCCTCCGTGGACAGGTTTTACAGGAGGTGTCCTGGAAGATGTCCTGCTTGCTCGCAGACAGGATTCGATATGGTCTGTATTCTGGCTTGGTGAGAGCCACCCAGCCTGGTGGTGCCTCTTGATGTGCACTGCGGCACCTTCCCCTGGCAATTACACCCTGGTAACCACCCTGACCTCTTCTCTGCCTTCTCCCCCCTCCAAATAAGTTCACATTCATCCTTTCAAGCTACCCCTGGAAACAGCCGCTGCTGTCGCACGTGTTTAGAGGACGGGTGGTCGCCGAGAGCAGGCTGGAGGGTCTCCTGCAGTCCCTGTGGTTTCTGAGGTTCTCCTCTTCCTCTCCGTGTCTTCACAGAGCATGGCTTCGTTGGCTACTCGGAAGAGCTTATGTTCAACAACACGCTGCCGGACTACAGCCAGGGGGAGTCCTTCTTCACTGTTTTTGGAGTGTTTTTCCCAGCTGCCACAGGTACCATAAGTTTTATCTTCCCCCCCTTTCCCTCCACAGTCACACGTTGGAGATGAGCAGAAGCAATGGGAGTTCCTCTGGGCTGCTGGGCAAGGTGAGCAGGACTGAGCTTAGCCGTAGCAGACTCATGCGGTGTATTCAAAATGTTCAAGCTTTCCTCCAGCATCTCAATTTTTGCACGCTCCTGTCCCATTCTCTTGAATGTGCTCTTCTGTTTCTCTGTGGTCAGAAACTGGTCAACTCTATCGGTTGACGTGGTGGTGTAAATCCCTCCCTGCCAAGGGTAAGGCTCAGGCACCAATCTTGGTCAATGTTGCCAGGCCATAAGGTTTCAAGGCTTTTTAAAAGGGCTGATCATGGTTTATCTTGTTAGATAAGCCTTATGACTTGGTTGCACTGGGAGGGTTGGGAAGAGCACAGGAGGGCTTTCCCTCCAGCGATGCCATCACTCATGATGCTGACCCACCACTCTCTGCACGCCATCACAGATGCATCTTTGGGTGTCAGCAGAGCTCACGCTTATGAGCTTAGCCGGATGCTTTCATATTATCCATTCCCTTAAATTACCAGGAAGATCCACGTCCCCTTCCCAAAGCTGGCAATCTCCAGTGGGAATGAAATAACTATCAATTGGAGTTACAATACCTTTTGTTGATGCTGGGGTTTTTTTTAAGCTATAAAAAGTACCGATTATAAGCAGTTTCCATAGAGATGAATCCTTGGATTACAGAGTGAATTTTCAGAGGATTAGCTCTAAGCAACTTGCTGGAAGTTGTTCTCAGAATTGCTGTGGTACAGGGGGACGAACTAAATGGTTTTGTGAAACAGATGGGACTGGAGGAATGGTCTGGTAGCAGAAGGCGGCACTTTGTCAAGTACACCTAGTGCAGGACTTCAAATTTTCCTTTGAAATCCTCCCTCTCAGCTCATCAGACTGGCTGTTGCCTCCATGTAGACTTCCTCCTGGATAACTTACCTGCCTGAATTATTGGCACCACGGAGAAGTTGCCTTCTGCCCTCTTTCTTGTCATTTCTGCCTGCCCCAAGCCAGTCTCCCAACCGAAGAAAGAGACCTTCCCCATAAGCCCTGCCTCTGACACAGGAAAGCAGATTTTTTCAGCTCCCTGGTTATAGAAGAAGGAATGGTTATGACAAAACTGCACAGAAAATTACCATGATTAGCCATATTAAATGGTTCTTCATCACTGCTAATGCTTGGCTGCTAGGAAGAATGCCAAAGCTAATAGATATAATTTATTTAAAGCCCTGGCAGCCTGTTGCTTTGTTAGTTAACGGTAGTAATACCAGTAGTAATGTTAAACATTCTCTGAAAATACAGTTTGGGCTGCTGTATAATTACTTTGGTCGCTGCACAGCTTTTTCGTGCGTTCTTTTTAATTGCTTGGTTATTTACAGGATTTAAATTATTCCTTGGAAGTAGCAGTGCCAGTGGTACCATAAAACATGGCTATTGCTGCTGTTATTGCTGTTTGTAGCAGTGCAGAGTTCAGGAGCCTCATAAAATGTAGAGTTGTGTTCAGTGCTCTTGGAAGAACTTGTGACCCGATTAAGAAATTTTTTGGGTGGGAGTCAAGGCTTCTCTGCTGCAGATCACAGATGGGGACCCCAGTGCAATTTCAGGAGAGCTGGGAGTGAAGCTCACGTCTCCTGGGGCTGGGGCAATGAATGAGGGCTGATTGCCCCCATACCACCTGACCCAGGCTGGCTTAGCTCACCTCCTCCCCCGTGATGGGGGTGCCATGCTAGGGCTGCAGAGGGGACCCCAGGTGTCTTGGGGTCCCACGTGCTGGAGAGCAAAGCTGCTTCCCACTGCATTGCGGGCGCTGCCTGGACACAGCCCAAGCCTGCCAGCAGGACAGGCGGTCCACGAGATTGGAGATGACATTTCAGGGATGGGTTTGGCAGCGGTGTTAATAGCAGGCTGGAGAGATGGGGTGGGATTGCCAGCGCCTCTGACGCCGGGCAGGCAGCGTGATGCAGATGGGGAGAGGGGGGCAGCGTCAGTCCCCAGCACCTCCACGTGAAAAGGAAAGGCAGGGACACATGAACATCACTGCCAGGCAGTCACCTCCATCCTGTCCTCCTGCTCCCCCCCAGCACCATCCCTGGGGGGTGCCCACCTCTGCTGGAACCCTCCAGAGCGACCCAGCTGAAGCAAAATCCTTCGCGTTAAGATGCAACAGAAATTTGTGTAGAGTTTCAGTGAAACATTGTGTTGTTTAGTTTTGAGGGGTTACTTTGAGCCACTTTGAAACATTTCTTTGACCCAAAGCAATGTTCTGTTTATCTTTAATTTATTAAATGTTATGATTACTCTTTTTAATTTTTAGCATATGCTAGTTCACAGTCTAAGATGCTGTTTTGATAACAAGGTTTTTAAAAAAATGTTTAGGGAATTGTGAAACAAGATATTTGGGCCTTTCTGAGATGAGATGCTCCTCTTTGAAGTGAAGCTATTTTGATCTCTTCAGGATAAGCTCTTTCCTCTCCCTCTGAAATGGTTATCTGACTTCAACTGGTTTAAGTTTTCTGTCTGGGATGTACTGAAAAGTGGGTTTAAGTTGCCCTTTTCCACCAGAAATAGCAGTGAAATGGAGAATTCAGAAATACAGGCAGGTAGCTGTCAAACCAAAGAGGGGCAGTCACATTGGGAAAGGGGAGCAGGACCTGCAGGGAGACCCTTACTGGGACCGTACAGGCAGGAGGAGAAGCTGGGTTCGTGCTTCAGCAGGAAGGGATGGGATGGTTGTCCCAGCCTTCCCTAGACCGGTAGCGACATGCTGCCTCCTACGAGTATCCTCCTGGGATCGTTTTGCTTTGGGTCGGGTTGTTTTCTCTCTTTCCCTGTATTTTATTGGTCCGACTCCAGCCATGTGAATGAAGTTATCCCGGTTTTACGGTTGAGTGGTGGTAAGCAGAGGCTGGTCCCTTTTGCTTCCTTGGGTAATAGCTGTTTAAACCATTTCAGCTGGATGTGCAGTGCAGCTGGCTTTATTCCCCCGAGTTTGTCATTTAATAGTAGAAAGTAGCGGAGCGATCCAAAACATACATCTTGAGCTGGACGAAATGGGGGTGCGTGGCCGTGGAGGACGGGGATTTGCCGCCTCCAGTCAAAAAGACCAATGTACTCTCTATGGAAGGTGTGAATCTCTGTAGAGATGCTGGGCATTAACCAGATGTTTTTGTGTGTGTTTGTAAATACCTTCTTAGTGCACGTGTTTTGCTGCCGTGCTGCCAAGGGCTTTGCATGGGGAAGGAGTCTGGGGAGCTGCCTGCCCACGTTCAGCTCCAAACAAACTTAAACATCGGTTGTGTTGTGCAGAGAACTGTCTTTCTTTTCCTACTGAATCCCCGAGGTTTTCTATCTAATGAAAGAAGCGTGTTGTCACGTGATACAAGAAAGTAAGACGACGTTTGAAGCGGCATTAGTGGAAAATATCATCGTACTGAAACCGGTTCTGAAATAAACCGTATTTGGCACTTGCAAAATGACAGCAAATGGATTTAGAAAGTTTTGGGCTAAGTTATCAGATGATGTAAACTGGCACAACTCCATTGAAGCCTATGGAGAGGTGCCAGCTTACATCAGTGGAGAATTTGGCCCTTTTAAAAAATTAGCTACAATTCTTATCTAAGATTTTCCATTCTTCATCTCTTGGGCGAAGGGGAAAAAAAAAACCTTTTATATTTTATAGTAAATTCACTGGGAAATGCAATGGGTGTTTGCAAGCAGTCATATCTACAGCTATAAACCGTAGCTGGTGGAGTTAGAGGCCAGAGCCTGGTGGAGCTGATGGTTGTGTCTAACGTACAGTGTAGGTGGTCCCCTCGTGCACGTATCCACTGCCTGGATGATGCCCAGGACAGGATTACGCTGGGAATAGCAGCAATGTACAGACTGTCTCAGCCATAATTTCCTGGCTGAGTTGACCGTGTTTTCATGCTTCCTTGTCCAGAAGCTTTGTCATTATCTGCTGCTCTCTGAGATAACTGCCAGTGTGGAAAATCCAGCCTGCTATCTCACTGAAACAGAGAAGTGGGTAATTTTCTCCGTGGACAATCTGAAGATATGATTGCTTTAGTTCCAACGGGATTGGCCGTTTCCCTAGGGGACAGGTCTGTGCCTGGAGGAAGGAACGTCCCAACTTCTCTACGTCATTGAATTTTATATGCAAGTGTAGGGTTTTTCTTCTGCTGAGTAACTAGAGTCTCTGAAAAGGCTGTTTGTGGCTACTTGCAAGTCAGACCGGTTTTCTGACAGAGGGTGACCAGAGTTGTGGATGGTGGAGATTGTTTAAGTTTTTTTGAAAATTAATCAGGTTGTCCTTTCATTGAAAACTGGGGTGGTTAGTCTGCTGCTTGCAAAAGACCTTCTCCATACTGCTTCTTGGCAGCTGTCATCCTGTAAGGAAAATTACTTACTGGGTGGTGGTAGAGAGGCATCGTCCAAACGTCTGTACTACAAGATTGTCCATACTGTTACTAGTTAGGTCAGAGGCATAGTTGCAGCACGGAGGAGATAGCTTTGGCCCGAGGGGCTGAGAATACCTGTGTTGGTTCCCTCTGTGGTGGCCTTGGCCTTTGGCAGTGGAAGCCACGAGACTCAGGTGACCTCCTGGGGATCCTGACAGAAGCTAATGGTGTGTGCTGGCCTGGGCCTGACCCCTAGTTGCTGCCGGGCAGGAGGTCAATCATCAATCTCAAGATCCCGTTGATGTGGGCTCTGACAGGTCATCTCCTGGCTGCTCCTGAATACGCGTGGGTCTGTGGGAGGGAGGCGGCCCGGGCTGTGCAGTCATTGCTCTGCCGATGACTCATACGTCTTCAACTTTTTTCATATTTACTCCAGAAATCACCATTTCGGTGTTTCCCCAGTGCTTTGCTGAGGCAGGAGTTTGGATGAGGAGGAGGTGAGTCAAGCTCAAGCTGGAAGGTTTAGAGGTGGTGCCAGATGTTTGGGAAGCTTGGCCAAGAGGCACATGAGATTAACAGCTGTCCTTCTGACAATGGTTTCCTCCCTCTGGAAGAAAAATTCAGAGTATTCTCGGCTTTCTACTTTGCCCCTGAAGTGCAAAGTAGCATGTCACCGAAGACTGCATCGTAGAGGCTTCATTTAGCATGATGTTTGTGACCATTTCCATGGACTTCTGTCTTCCTGACTTTTCTCACCTCCAGCTAAGCCTATTGTGTGGCTCTTTAAAAGCAGCAGCACTTGGAAGCTTTATCTGGGGAAAAGTGCACCAGTTGACGGGCTTTTAGCAGTGCTGTTTAGAAGTATGTCCATGGAACAGTCTTCCAGGAGAAAATTAAGAACTCATTTTGATTCGTAATGCTTTCGATATGGTGTCAAGGATTCAAATCTGGTCCGAATCTGGAAGACGGCTCTTCCAGGAGCTGAGGAATGCCAGGAGCCCATGGGGACAGAGGAAAGGCTGTTGGGGCTCTGGCTCTGTGATGGAAAGGGTGACAGAAAAAGATGGCTGTTGGGTGGGATGATCAAGGGAGGGGAAAAAAAAAAAAAAAGATGATCAAAGAAAAATTTTAATAACAAATAAATAAAGCCCTGGCTGCTTAGCTGATGTGTTTGGCAACATTTGAGTGCCTTGTGCTCATTAACGTGGTATCCTCACGGCAGCACAGCGAGGAGAAGGAAGTGTTACAATTCCCATTTAGCAGATGGGGAGATGGAGGTGTGAAGATGCACAGCAAAGCCTGGGACGGAGTAGGAGATCAGCCCCTGTTCCCCCACCAACAACGCAACCGTTGCTCCCCGTTGGCATACAAGGTCTGCAGGGAAGGTACCCAGCGGCTGAGCTGGGTTTGTCCCCTTTACCATAGGACCTGACCTACCACAGCTCCTGTCTACCCTTCATCTTGGGAGAAAACCCTCCCAAGCAGCAATCAGTGTTTGAGCTTTAGCATGCAAGGGGTTGCTGCTTATTTAGAGCTGTAGTCGCTCAGATTGGCAGCCTCAGAGATTGACTTTGTCATTCTTCTGCCCTCTGAAAATGAGGAATGGCTGCTGGACTTGGCAGCGGAGCGACGTGTGGTGGGTCCCCTGCTGCCAGGGCTGGCAGATGCTACAAGCGCCGCGGCATTGTCATCCTCCTCCTCATTGTTGCTCTGTGGTGATCTCAGCCCGGCTCCTGGGGACCATCCCATGAGCGTTGCTGGCTGGCACCTGGCCCGTGCCTCCTTATGAAGACGTTAGTTTGACATCTGAGGGGTGGGACAGCGATGGGCAGAAATTAGTGTCTTAAAGAGGGTTCTTCTGGCCTGCCTTCAAATTGGCCATATCCTCATCAGGATTCTAAACCACAGATTATTTAAATTTTTTTTTTTTTAATTTGTAGTAGACATCTGACGTCTTCTAGGAGAAACTTTGGGATAATTTGACACAAAAAGTTGTGTTTTCTTGCCAAGTCTGGTATGATTCCTTCTTCAACCATGGGAAAAATGTCTTAACCCACTTCAGTCTTGGGTTCCTAGCCTCAATGTGGAGACTGTAACCCTTCGCTCCACCCTGTTTCCATTTCTTGCGTCTTTAGCTGGTAATTTTTTAGGCTGAGGACTGTCCCTGATTGTACAATACCCTGTACTCCGGCCTAAAATAACAGTTCAGTACTTTATTCTTAGCCCTACCGCGTGCTTTCTACGTGACGCTGGGACAATCACTTGCCCTCTCAGCGCTTCTGTTTTCCTATCTGCAAAGCAGCGATAATGCCCGCTGCCAACGCAGATGCCTTGGCTGGAAGGTGCCACCTACGTGCTGAGCACTGTTGTTCCCTCCGCTCCACGCGCATGTGATCGTCATTAAGCACGGAGAGGACAGCCCGTTTTGTAAGGGCGGTTGTCCCCGATGAATGCGGGGACCTGTAATGGATCTGGTCGGGGTGGGGACAGTAACCCCCCGCTGAATGCGCTGCCCTGATGAACGGGAGCATTTTTCTATTCAACAATTAGACAGCGCTGTCTTCTGTGAGGTTTGCATTAAGATAAGATGGGTTTTGTTCACACATTTCTCCTTTTTTTTTTTCTCTCTCCCCCAGCATTGTTCAAACTGGACAAATGGTTCTTTGTAGACGTGTTGGTGTTGGCTCGCTTCTGTTAAAGAAACGAACAGTTTCTTACCAAGCAATCAGTGAGAGCCAATGTTCATGTCTGCGCATTAAATGCAATGAAATTATAGAGTTACTCTTCTGAAGCAATCGATTAAGTGATTGATTAAATTACATTAAATATTATAATATGTATTATAAGCGCTGTAACTTAGATTAACTCTAAATTACGTTTATGTCTACAAAATACAGGTGTGATGGCTGGGTTCAATATGAGCGGAGATCTCCAGAAGCCTGCTAGCAACATCCCCTTGGGGTCTCTGGCTGCTATTGGCACCTCGTAAGTCACAGATTGGGGAAAATTTACTCTTTGGAGCCTGCCCTGGATGTGACCAATCCATTTCGTATTCCCATCAACCTTTTATTACTCAGCCATCTGGAAAATTAAAGTCTGGCTCTCATTCAAATTATCATCCATTACCACCACCTACTCTGGGTGGGTTGGAGAAGAGGTTCATTAACGCGGATATAATCAGTCCTTCCTCTGGCGGGTGGGAGGTGTGTGTTGGTGCAAGGGTGTGCTGCTGCTGCAGCCCCGCTGTCCCAGGGCAGGATGCAAAGCTCTCCCAGGCTTGGGATGCGTGGTTGTGTCACTTGGTGCCGTCGATTCCAAAGCGCTTGCTTTTTTTAATAGGTAAATAGAAAATACAAAAAATAGAAAATGTTAAAAAAATATATAGTTGTTATTATTGGGGAAAATGGGGCCAAGACAAGTGACACGACCTACCCACCTGCAAAGCCAGAAGAATGCAGGGCCCCCGCGTTCCCAAGCAGTGCTGTCCCAAAGGAAATGCTGCTTTCCAGGAGTAAAATACTGTTACATATTAAAAAAAAAAAAAAAAAGCAACCTCAGTAGGGTTTCCTGCCTATTTTCAGTGCCACATCAACTGTTTTCAAAATAATTATGTTTAATTGTGTACCAAGGTTGGGACGGGAAGGATCTTCTGAATTTAGAGGGATTCCTGCTGACATTGGTGCTTGTTTTAAGTGAGGGAGCTGCAACCTGCTCTAGTGGGAGGTGTCCCTGCCCATGGCAGGGGAGTTGGAACTCGATGATCTTTGAGGTCCCTTCCAACCCAAACTATTCTATGATTCTATAGGGATTCCACGGGACACAGAAGTATCACAGATAGATGGACTGTGGTTGTTCACATCTCTGCTGTCTGGACTTTACAGACAGCCTAGTTTATCTCTCCACATGAGTGATGGAAACATCAGAGATACCGAAGGTTGACTGAGGTTCTAGAGCAAGCTGGCTGTGGTGACTAACGTTACTGCCAGACCAGAGGACCTGTGTAGCTGCAGAATCATAGAATAGTTTGGGTTGGCAGGGACCTTTAAAGGTCACCTGGTCTAACCCCTCTGCAATGGGCAGACACATCTTCAACTAGGTCAGGTTGCTCAGAGCCCCGTCCAACCTGACCTTGAATGTTTCCAGGGATGGGGCTTCTACCACCTCTCTAGGCAACCTGTGCCAGTGTTTCACCACCTTCATTGTAAAAAAAAAAAAAAAGTCTTCCTACTATCTAGTCTGAATCTTCCCTCTTTTAGTTTAAAACCATTACCCCTCGTCTTCTTAGAATAGGCGCTGTTAAAAAGCCTGTCCTCAGGACTGGGCTATTCCCCCCATGCACAGATCAAGAGTACAGGTAATTTCCCCTTGGGGACACTTTACTGTCCCTGGTGCACTGTAGCTGGTAAGTAACATGGACATGTGTTAAATTTAACCCTGAAGCTAAATCATGCAGGAATAGCCCATGCAGAGTGATTGAAGACCCGCCTTCCAGGTACTTGACCTTCTCCTGGCTTTGCTAATGGGTGGAATTCTCAAGGGTCTTCTCTTGCTGGGAAAAAAAAAAAATAATTAGTTTATTTTTATTGTTTGCAGGTGGTTTCTGTACATGGTCTTTGTTTTTTTGCTGGGAGCCATTTGTACGCGTCAGTCACTCCGCTATGACTTCATGATAGCAGAGAAGGTAACTCGTTCAAATAACCTAACGTTTATATATAGTGCTTTTATATAACGATGCTGTCGGGTTGCCATCTGCTTTACTGAATGCTTAGAACTGTTCCAAAAGCCTGAGGAATTTTGGGTGCCCATCCCTTGTTGAAATGCAGGGGGATTTCCCCCTTGCAAATCACAGTATACCATTGGTTCGAACAGCTTTGCATTCACCAGCATACCCTGTAATGCTGAATCTTGGCATAATCACCCAGCAATAGCTTTAAGAGCTAAAATATGCTAATGTGGTCTAATGATAAATGCCGTATTTTATTCAATGTATCCTTTCTCGGTGGTGAAAGCTTAGACCAAATTGAAATCTGTAAAGAACCCCACTGCTTATCTTTACTAAGTCAAGCGAAGATTACATTTCCATATCGAGCGGGCTGTAATTGCAGGGCGAGCAATAGGATTATTAAACTCGAGACATTCCACAGGGGTGTATGTACATGGGGGAGGTTTGTAACGTTACAGGCAATGAACCTGATCATTGCAGGCCTTTTAAAAGGGAGCAAAAGGTTTTGGTGTGTGTCACCGTCTTACTTTAAATGGGATATGGGATAACATTTCCTATTATTCAGCATTATCCAAAATCACGGGTTCATCATATTTGACAGTACTTCTTGTGATTAATTGAATCAAATTTTTATTTGATTTTAACATGGTTCTAATCTAAAATATCAATTTGAAATTCTGGCTTCGTTTTCTCTCTAAGTAATAGTTGCTCTAGACTTCCTCCAGCCCCCAAAATAAACTCCAGATTATTGGTGGGGCTCCTGCCACTTCCTGCTAAGGTAAAAAAATCATCTCAGTTTCAGGGAAAAAAAGAATGATCCCACCTTCTTTATGGCAACATCTTCGTATGTCAATGTGACAGACAGTGGGTGAAAAGCACAGCAACTAAAAGAATCAGCTTTAAATGAATCAGATAAAGAGAAAGAGATTGATAAAGCTGTGTTTTAACTTCAGAACGCTCTTGGAGGGGGAGGGGGAATGAAAAATCTCATGGTAAAGAATGAAGATATTTAATAATGTTAGATATAAAAAAAAACCCAAAAAACCAAACAAAAAAGAAAATTCAATTTTCCTTAGTATGAAACCAAAAAAAAATGGATTGAGTGCAATCCCAATATTCATGTTGCTTCTTTGAGTTATAACAAGCTGCTCTAGATTTTAATGACTTTGAGGGGCGGGAGCGGCGAGATCATTACACATCCAACAAGCAAACTCTCCCTTTCTGTCACTCACAGGTGAGCGAATGCTTGGCTGCTTCTCTCCCTTACAATGCTTGTTTGGCTTTTCAAACATAAAAATGAGATTCAGTAATTTCACTTCTAATGAGCTCGAAGTGCCAATTTCTTACAAAGTATTCACACTCTCCGTGCTCAACCCCCCAGCAAACCTTTTCATCAGCCTCGGTGAAAAGGACTCTTCCCCTCTAACCCTGATTTGAATGTCAAGTAGTACATTTAAATGCAAGTATTTTTGGCAGCTAAAATAATATATGATGTCTGGCACAAGTGATTGTTTCTTCCAAGTATTTCTTAGAGCAGGGCAGGATTAGAGGAGAGGGATGGGAAGGCTCCTCATCAAGTGTCTGTCCATTCAATGGAAGCTGATACCTGCTCGTCTTTGCCTCAAGTTTCTTCTGTCCCACAAGATAAAATTCACAAGGCCAAGTGGCTTTTCATGGGGAGAAGGAATATTGTGGTAGAAATTTTGTACGGTTCTGGACCACAGAATCAATTTTACATGCCTTCCCCGAACAGCAAGCATTTTATGGCTTTTTACCCAATCTCCTCTTTGCTGTGTGTGGATTTCAGAGATGAGGAAAAGACAGATGTAGCTTGAATCATCTTTAGACATGTCAATTTTTGTAGTTCCTTCTAATAGAGCATGCACCACCTGACCTTAGCAGGGGCAGTAGCTGGGAAGACCCATGTTCATTTGGACCTCGTTTTCCATGAGAGGAGGGGTGGGAGCAAAGGACACATGGGACATGCGGGACTGGCATTTGGTGACATCCTCGGCCACAGGTGTCTGTGGGTACCTCCAGCAGTTTGCTTTGGCAGAGTATGGGCAGAAATCTGGACGAAAATTGTGGAGTTTTCTCCCTGCCTGATCTTTGTGCTGGTGTTACCCCCTGTGATTTGTCTTTGTCTGGCAGGACTTGGGTATGATGACCCTTAGTCTCCTTGGCTGTGTCTGCCCATGTCTTCACACCATGGTACCAGGAGCACTCCCATTTCAAAGTTTTCTTGCATAGTGTTCATATTGTGGGATTTTGTGTATTTGGGTGGGTTTTTTTAGAGCTGCTGCCTGTGCTTGCAGCACTTGACAGTGAGGACCTGCTCAGGGGCACCCCAGTCCTGTGGGATAGACCATGATCTGCCCTCCTTTCCTCACTCCACACCTGCAGATGTTCGCTAGAAAGCAGTAGTAAACCCAGCCTTGTTAGCACTGTGGCTTTAAAGATATTTTTTTTTTTTAAGTTTCATGTTGGCCAAAGGAAATTCTTTTCGTATTGAAGACAGGAAAATAAGGTCATTGTATTATATCCTTCGGAGCGTATTTTTTGAGATGCCATTTGTTTAAGTGGCAATTTTGATTTGGTTTCACTGTGGATTTTCTTTCAGGGTTGGTTTTCCCCTCTGGGACACAGGGTTTGTCTTCCTGTTTTGGATGGTTGGAAGCCTGGGCAGCTTTTCCTGTATGATGTGCTCTGTATATAAGTGATCTCTCCTGAAATAAACTCACTTCCAGTTACTTAAGGGGAATCTAATAGCTGCTGCTTTGCTGCAATTGCTCCAAGTGACAAAGAATTTCTTGGATATGAGCTTGTCAAATGGCTCTGTCGGTACAGGATGTTCAGTATTAAATTACTTTTATGGGATAATTTTCCTGTATTAATTGCTTGCACTTTATACCGCAGACCAGGTAAATTGCTGCTTTCCCAGGGCTCACTCTGTTCATTTAGCTGTGTTATAAAATATATGTGATCTCTGAAAATACATGTATTTAAGACTGGCAGGGGGTCTTTAAAGAACCATATAATCAACTTTGCGCTCTCTCCGCTTCCTCCAGGTGTCCTTGGTGGGTTTCTTGTTTTTGCTAGGGCTGTACATCTCATCCCTGGCCTCCTGCATGGGGGGGCTGTACGGAGCACCCAGGATCCTGCAGTGCATCGCCCAGGAGAACGTGATCCCCATGCTCGCCTTCCTTGGACGTGGGGTTAGTCATCCTTCCTCCGAGATTGCTCTCCAACCTTCACCTGAAGGAAAAACTGCCGGTTTAAGAAGCCAGGATTTCTGTGTGTCTGTAGGGTGAGATGGAGAATGCATGAAAATCAAGGAGGGGAGGGCTTGGGATCTGGTAACCTGGAATAGGCAGATAAGCCAGGAAGTGAGTGGTTTTATTAAAAACCCAAGAGCCCAGCTGCCTGTGGTCCTTTCCCTGCCTGTTCCCTGTGCTGCACCACCTCTGCCCTGAGCCCTCCCATGGGCTCAGCACAGTGTAAGAACAGCCCTGCTTTGCCCCAGCATCTTCCTTGACCACCTCTGCGCCCCGGGGCTGGCTGTCCTGTCCTCACACACAGCCAGCCCTTCCTGGGCTGCCATCTGTCCCCTCCCTCCCTCCCTCAGATCCACCTCTTTCAAGATGCCCCTGGTACAACAGCTCCTTATGATGCAGCTTCACCTGCGGGGTGTTTTTGCAAAAGCCTTATCTATGCTGATGCTGATCCTAGTCCCTGACCCAGGAACGTACCCAGCTCTTCTCTGTCCTTCCAGCCAGGGCAGAGACATAAAGCTTTTGTCCAAGCACTTTGGTGCAATGGAGGGTAACTGCTTCTCTCTCTTCTCCTCTCTCCTCTCTCCTCTCTTCTCTCTTCTCCTCTCTTCTCTCTTCTCCTCTCTTCTCTCTTCTCCTCTCTTCTCTCTTCTCCTCTCTTCTCTCTTCTCCTCTCTTCTCTCTTCTCCTCTCTTCTCTCTTCTCCTCTCTTCTCTCTTCTCCTCTCTTCTCTCTTCTCCTCTCTTCTCTCTTCTCCTCTCTTCTCTCTTCTCCTCTCTTCTCTCTTCTCCTCTCTTCTCTCTTCTCCTCTCTTCTCTCTTCTCCTCTCTCCTTTTCTGCAGTTTTCTCTTCTGCACTTATTCTTTTCTGCACTTTTCTGCACTCTTCTTTTCTGCATTTTTCCTTTGAGTTCTTCCTCTCCTCTCTGGTAACCTCCTAGCTGAGTACGTGACCAGTCGCGGTGCAGTGGATTCAGTCCACATGCACCGGAGGAGAGCACGCTTCTTTGTAAGATAAGGTGCCTTTTGGACACTCTGAAATAAAAACAAAGAATAGATTTGAAAGGTTAAGTTAGAGGGCTGCTAAGCTTTAGATATGCTTTGAAACAAAGCCTTGCTTTGAATATGACAAGAGGCTTTTTCCTTGTCCTCACAAATAATCCTCATTCACATGAGTTGTTCTGCTGAGATCAGTCAAAGTACCAGTCACTAAGGACTCTGTAGTCTCGGCCTATATGTTTACAGCAAACTATTTTTTATGGCTTTCTTCTAAACAGGCAGAAAATAATTCCCTTGCTCTCAATAACCTGCAACACCTAACTGTCTGTACCGAGGGCTGGAAAAAATCTTAGGATGTTTGGCTCCTTCAGAGCAGCTTGTAAATACAGAAAGATATTTTACAATATTGGTATTTATGAATGTTTTAAAATATTTAATTTTTAATAGGTAGAATAATTTTCTCTACTTTATGTTCCTCAAAGTAATTTTCAAAAATTAAAGTCATAGTAATAGCAATAATAATAATAAATAGTAATAATTGTAAGTGAAGTAAGAACAATGATGACAGCAAAAACTTCCAGCTTCTGGAGGCAGTTGTCAGGCAATCCCAGAACAGGCTGTTCTCCACTTGGCAATCCTTTGCAAATTCTCAGTGATTTAGCAAATTTGACTGCAAAGCTGATTCCCTCTCTTCTCTGATAGTTTTCTGTCTTTCTGTCAAATCTTCTGCTCTGAACTCTGTCCGGGCAGAATGCCACAATGGCACGGGCTCAAAAAGAGGTGAGAAATCAAGGGCTCCTTGATTACTTTCCTCCCATCCTTCTCTCTGCCACCTTTAAAATTGTCTAGATTTGGTTTACAGGGAGTTAATAAATACAGTTTTCCTTTACCAATCTGTTCCATATCAGTTCTTTTCCATGGCTGAAAAAAGTATCGTAGTCACCATAATCCCAGCTGATGGGAAGGACATGACTCTTTTCTGTAGCACTAAACCCAAGCCAGAGGCGTCCTGAGATCATCCCATCTGTTCCCCATCTCGGTACGTCCTTCTGATACCATAGATGCTTTCTGAGAACTGTGTTCCTTTATCCCCGAGATGTGATTCTATTTCATTGTGAAAAGGTGTAAAGTCCAGAATGGGTCCCCTTTTCTATTAATGAGTAAGAATGGAGGATATAGAAATAGTTTCCATTTGAGCTGTGTGTTTATTAAAGAAGCACATGCAGCAAGTGAAAACCCAAGATATTTTGTAATATATCTTGTAAGATATTTTCCAGTGAGATCTTTACACAGCTTCCTGGGGACTGAAGCAGGGAGACAGTGCCTTGTCCAAGGAAGAGCACGTTAGACCTGGGATTAAAGTTCATGAGCTGATGGCTCAAGTCTTTCCACATCCTGATGCCCTTTGCTTTGTCTCTCTCTTTCTCCTCTTCTCCCTGCCTTCCCCCCACCCCAAAGGAGAGGAGCAGGCAGTGTTTCTCCTGGCTGCCTGCCCTCCTGATGCTCTCCTGGCATCACTGGGGCTGCCTTCTGCCCTCCAGCATCCTCAGCTGCCCGACCTCTCTGCTGCTTCCCTCCTGCCACCAGGCAGATGTGGCTTGGGTGGGAGAAAGGAGGGAAACCCCCACTGCAGAGGCTCAGCTGACCATGGATTTAGCTCAGCCTGGTGTCAGGGCAGGGCCAGAAGCTGCTGTGGTGAAGCCACCACTGCTCCGTGCAGGCAGAGGTTCACCAGCTGTATCTGGCAGCCAAAGCCTTTCCAGCAGCAGCCAGTGGGAGCCTTCTGGGTAGGCAGCGATGCGGGGTCCTGTGGAGAAACTGGAGATGAACAGTTAACTCTAATTAATGCGGTTTATTGCCAGACTTCCCATAAGCCCCACAAATCTCTTCTGAAGGTTTATTGCTGCTTTAATGACGTTGTTTTACTGCAGAGATATGGAGTGAGAGTGGATGAGCTTTCCAAAGACAAAGTTTGAGTAGGGCTCAGAGGTGAGGTGGGAGCTCAGCAGCTTTTGGCTTCCAGCCTATTCTTTAATTTATGAAGCTGGTGAGCCTCTGCTTGCGCATGCCTGTGTGTGTTTTCATGACTAAAGGGGTACTTGAGAGCCCAGGTAACCACCTGTGGCAGCTGAGCAATTGGTTAATCCTCATGGCGAGGCTCATGGTTATTAATTTAAATGAAAATTTGTTTTATTTATGAACTAGAAAGGACCCAACAAGACTCCAGTGGCTGCAATTTGCTTAACAAGTCTCATCACCATGTCTCTCGTCTTCATTGGGCAAGTGAACGTTCTTGCTCCCATAGTCACCATCAACTTCATGTTAACATATATTACAGTAGACTATTCCTATTTCTCAGTCTCCTTGAGCTACAACGTTCAGCAGAAACCTGATGAGACCCAGATGGGAAACACTAGGCCTGCTGACTCTTCCCAGCCTTTAATTTTCAACAAGCCCTCCAGCCATGCAGCAGATGGAGTAATTCAGAGCAGATCAAACGGCACCTTGCTAGAATTCAGAAAAGACATGGACCAGCTTTTTAAACCATTTCGTACGGAGCCAGGTACTTGCAAAAAAGGAGGAGCCAAGAATTCAACCCAAAAGGCCAAACAAAAGAAGGCAAAGAAGCCAGCCAAGCAGACGTTACAGGACAGCTTTCTCCTGGATCTCCATCGTGAAGGTCCCCTGGCTCAGCACGGTTGGGATGAGACCGGGGAGCCCCACAAGGAGAGCTGGCAGGACCTGGCTGAGCAGGGCTGTCGGCGTGACACAGGTCCGTGCTCATCACCCACTGCGGATGCCCAGCGGACACCTGGGCTGCAGGAACAGGGGGAGCAGCTCCACAGCGAGGTCCCCACACTCCCCACCCAGAGGGGAGAAGGTAAGGGCTGTAGGAGGTGGACATCTCTGTGCTCACGGTGCCTTTCTGGAGGAAGGTGTGAAGCTAGCATTCATAACAATAACAGCATTTATTGCAGGTGAGGGTAGGGTTCATTGCAACGCATCACAGGAGAAGTTCTAATGCAATTTCCTACGGAAGATTAATGACAGGAAGGCAGGCAGGACTACACTTGTGTAGAGTTGTTTACTATATACTCATGATTCTACATGTGCACCCTTAATGCTTTACATTAAAAGAGGTTTGAGTGTATCTTGGGGTTTACTTCATCCTGGTGCAGGGTAGGAGGGATGGAGCCATGCGAATCTAAAGCTCAGGCTACTGAAATGCAGTGGTCCCCATTAAGCTTTGTAAACCCTTTGAGTGGAGAAAAGCCTTATTTCTCTTCTTTCACAATAAGGAAACTGAAGCAGAGATAGGCAGATGTGGTCTTCAAATGGACTCGACACTGGAGTTGGCAACTTTTTTTTCCCTTGCACTTCTTTTTGCTTTCGTTTTAGAAGTTTTGGTTAAGTTCTGCCATACCAAGCAGTCAGGTAGAATTTGTGCTTTGTTTTCTGCAATCTGGTAACGTAATGTAGGAAGAAAAAAACTGAACAGTTTAGCACGTTTCTAATGTCTCTCTTTTTTTTCTCACTTTTTTCTTCAGAATCGTCTATAAAGCAACAAAATCCAGAGCTGGGAATCACAATAAGGAAACTGAAGCAGAGATAGGCAGATGTGGTCTTCAAATGGACTCGACACTGGAGTTGGCAACTTTTTTTTCCCTTGCACTTCTTTTTGCTTTCGTTTTAGAAGTTTTGGTTAAGTTCTGCCATACCAAGCAGTCAGGTAGAATTTGTGCTTTGTTTTCTGCAATCTGGTAACGTAATGTAGGAAGAAAAAAACTGAACAGTTTAGCACGTTTCTAATGTCTCTCTTTTTTTTCTCACTTTTTTCTTCAGAATCGTCTATAAAGCAACAAAATCCAGAGCTGGGAATTCAGCAAATACCAAAATCCTTCTACTCCAAATTCTGCAACCACTGGGTTTCCTTTGCTGGTGTAAGTAATTTTCTTTTATTTTTGGCACTGGTTTGTGACTGTAGGAAATAGATGGCAATTCATGAATTACGGCAGTGTAAATACACTCCAGTAATTCAAAATGGCTTTTGTTTCTACTGTTTCAGGTCACCTAAATTTAAGTACTCAAGGTTCTGTGCATCCAGGAGTTCAAATTCAGAGAAAGCCAGGTGACATATTATTTCAGACAACAACAATAGCAAAAAAAAAAAACCCAACCCAAACCAAAAAGCAGCAAAAAAAAAACCAAAAACAACCCAAACCAAAAAGTTAAAAACCCAACCCAAACCAAAAAGTTACAGGTTCAAAGCCTGGCAGCTGAGGGCTTTAGAGATGCATGACTGGCTGGGGGAAAAAACCAGCGTCCCTCTTTTCACTGTGTGCCAGCCTGCTTTTTCTTGCCGTGAGGTGGAGTGAGACATCAGCTTCAAAGCTGTGTTGCTTTTATTTATGAGATGGTTTCTGTGAGCTCAGGGTGGGTTTCATTAGTGCTGACCTCCTGATACCAGCAGACCGGTTGTAAAATTCAACAATTTTGAGGGAGGAAAGGGGAGCATTCCTCCAGCACATTGCTTTAAAGAATAAATAACTTTTAAATAGCTTCTCTCTCAAGCCACTGAGGAGTTTAAGACATTTAAATTCATCTTGGGAAGATGGATTAATGGGCAGGTGACAGGGAAAGGGTCAGATATGCATAATGAATGAACCATATGGCTTTGCTGCATGGGTGGGGGTTTCAGACTTGCATGTAAAATGTAACAAACCCACTCAAACAACACATCGAACCCTTTTAGTTTAATCCTCAGGTGCAGTTTGACACCTGCTTTTCAACTTCCCTGCTGCAGCCACTGATGCCCAGGAGCATCCATCTACCCACCTGGTTGTAGGTGGCATCATTCCTCCCTCAGGTAGGATCCAGGCTGTGCAGCAGGTCTTGGGCAAGTAGAGCCTCTGTTATGTCCCCATCCTGGGACATTGTTAGGAAGGAGACACCAAAAGAGGAAACACTCATCAGGATAAAGCTGAGTGGCTGCATCACTGGGTCCTGACTGTGTGTCTCTTACAGAATGCTCCCAAGAAGACCCTGAGAAAGATGAAGGTGCTGAGATGCCATCAAAGCACTGGTTTTGTATGTGTTTTAAACCAAGATGCAGCATTTCTCATTAAAAAGAAAAAAAGATCATTTGATGCTTTTGTAACAACTTGAAAGCCCCAGCACTGTCTCAGTTATTGAAGAGTTTCTGTAGAGTTGCAGCTCGTGCTCTGGGCTTTGCAGGAAAAGGACTGTCAGATTGTCACCAATGTGTTATCTTACAGACTCTGGGGTAACCCCAAACCGTGTCTTTCCAACAGGCGATCGTGTCCCTCATCATAATGTTTGTCATTCAGTGGATCTACACCCTTGTCAGCCTGGGTGCAGCCGTTATTCTGTATTTCTACATCGGCCAAGCGAGCCCAGGACTCCCCCTTGGTGAGTATTTTTTTTTCCGTATTATTAAATCTGCTTAAAAATTCATTAAGCTTTAATTTAACTTAATTAGGGATTGTGACTCTTGTGTTTAATATGCAGGTGACACAGTGAATGATGAGGTTTTTTTCTTTGCCAGTTTAAATACATTTTCTCTCTGGGTCTTTGATGTTATATTGGATTCCAACTGCAACTAGCATAAGTCTGATAGTTTGAGCGTTGTGCTTATCGCTTTAATATATTGTACTTTAAATGGCAAAACTAGATACTAATACTAGGACTTAACAGGGATGGCAGATTGTAAATGTACAGATACTAAGACTTAACAGGGATGGCAGATTGTAAATGTATCACAGCAATGAGAAAAATCTGCCATAAATACATTTTAATAAACTTAATTAATCAACCTAAACCCACCTGAGAAAACTTTAATGAAAATGGGAATTATGACGAGTATCTCATTAAATCTCAGCATTCATAACCGTAGAACAAGAGAGCCTTTTGATTCCAGGACTAAACAGGTTGAATATGTCGGGGGACATAATCTGGGAAAATACTCTTAGGCAGGGGGCATTAGAAAGGTCTGTGCATGTGATCAGCTTAAACAAGTTCAGAATTAAACAGTGAAGCGCATTCAGAAAGCAGCTGATGAGAGCCTGTGACTCCTTGGCACGGTGACGGGAGGGCTTTGCAGGGGTCTGTGTCTCTGAAGGGAGAGGGTGGTACATGCACGGTGTGCACATGCTCACGTACCTATGCATTACGTACATAGGTAGGTGCATTAAAACATCTATAGGCGCATGCATACATAAGTACCTGCACGCGTGGATGTGCAGTTTTTTGTCCCAGTTGAGAACAGTCAAAAGACCTTGAGTTCATATGCCTTCTAAGCAATGCAGAAATAGCTACCTGTGTTTATTTAGATGAAAGACTTTTAGACAGTAGGTAAGTGGATACTGGGTTTATATAGATGAAAGACTATTGGACAGTAGGTAAGTGGATACTGGGTTTCAGAAACCTAAACGATGAGAAACCAAAAAAAAGTTGTCACTCGGTAGCCATCACAGCATTGCTCACCAGTGCTCCTCTTTCTGCTCTGATTTCTTTTCTGTTTTTCTGCATGGGATAGTAGAAAGAGCTGAGATGGTGGATAGTACTTGCTAATTTGTGTCTTTTGAAATATATCTAAGTTTTAACGAAGTTTTTTACAGCCCTAGTATAGTAAAAAAACCACTATGTTTTCAGGCTTTGGATTTTTCTTTGTATATTCACTCACTATATTATATCTCTGTTACCTGCTTTTGAAATAATTAACAGAAATGGCTTTAAAAAGAATTTCTCAGTCAGTGTGTAAAGAATTTTGGAAGGTGTTCTGAGAAATAGCAGTGTGATTAGAAAATTTTTTTTTTTTTTTAGTTTCTTTTGAATGTGCATCCTCATGCATACAGTAAAACAATGCATGGCAAAGGAAACGTTAGAAATGAACACTCAAAGTTCAGCCCAGTTTTTATTTGGCTGTGAGGGAACGTTATTTTGTGGTCACGTGGCATCCAACGAGCTGCGAGTTTGTTCCCCAAAAGACCGAACAACCCTTCTGTCTAGAAAAGTTGGGAGACATTGGCTTGAGAGATGCTCTGGATTAAGATAAAGACCTTGGGAGCAGAAGTGCTCTGGGATTTTGACATGTCCCTTGTCCTCTTGCTTCCTCCCCAGCAGCCTAAGCCAAACCCAGCAGATGCTGCCAGGTCTCTGATCTCCTCCCTGTCCCTCACCACAAACTTCTTGCTACCACTGGGTCTTCCCTGCCCTTGCAGTGAGCCATTGCAGGAAACTCTGCAGAGAAATCACAAAAAATTAATGTTGGTGTAATAAGCCAAGCCAGCTCTCCATGGGGTGAGACAGGAGGGAACGAATGGTGACCCCACAGACACCCTGGTTGAGGTCAGTTGAATGGCTCCTGCCATTTCCCCATCCCTGCAGTGGGAAGGAGCTGGGCAGTCCAGGGAGGAGAAGGTATGGCTGAGGGTGTCTGTTCTCTGCTCACAGCTTTGCTGGGGTTGTCACAGGCTGTCAGTCTGGGAAAGGATAGCTGTTCTCCCTGGGAAATTTGGGTTAAGTTTCCTGACAGTCGTTTAAAAGCTGCAGTACGTGGGCAGACTGCAGGAGGGCTCTTACCATCATGGAATCTCTGTATGCTGAAGGCTAGTGACAGGCCTGCTGCTTTGGCGGAATCTGTGGCTGAAGGCTAGTGACAGGCCTGCTGCTTTGAGATTTTATGCCAAACTTCGATGGCGTAATGCTATTAGGAGAGAATTAGCAGCAGACTGACTTCTGGTGCCTTTCCTCTGCAGGAGCAGCAGCGAATTTCAGTTTCTTCGGCTGGATCAAGTCGGTTTTGATCACCTCGTGCAGGTTGGTACCAGTAACTTGTCAGTGACCGAGGCGATGCTCGTTGTTCCTGTGACCCACTCATGTGCACAGTGAGGAGTGGCAGAGTTGACTTGCTTATTACCTTGGGTATACTTCTTGCACACTCAAAGTTAGGCTTAATGGTAAAAATAACTGCTTGCTCCCATTAGCTGGCATGTGGCTGGCTGTGTAAATGGGACAGCTGGAGTCTTCTATGTGGACACATCAGCTGACAACCGTATCTTGGTGCCTGAAGCTTCATCTTACCCCAAAGGTTTGTGCTTAACCTTGGTGGCTCAGGTTGAACTGGAAAATCTAGTAGGAAATGAGGAACAGGAGACTCCATCTCTTTCACCCACCATCCATTGAAAGGGAATTACTATGATAATGGTGGAACAGGGGCACATGGCAGCTGTGCTTGAGTTTCAGAGAGGAAATCTTGGGTGGAGCCATGATAACTGCAGGGCAAATGCAATAAACAAGGTTTTCAGTGAAGGAACCATTCAGCATTGAATTTGCATGGGACTGCAGTAGCAAAGTCTTGGGGTTTTCCTTCCCAAGACCTTAAGGGTTTTGTTTGGTTGGTTATTAACTAGTTTTGTTAATCTGTTTTGATCCTATTAATTATTAATTCCATCACTTCTGGGTTTCCCACAGAGGGTAGTGACCATCTCTGCTGCTGTACAGTGCAGTGGGGTTTTGAGATTCTCAATCTGTTGGGTTGCTTTTTTTTGTTGCGGTGAGTGAACGCTGTAGGAAGGACTGCACAGCACAAGCTGCTGTGCATTATGTGGGCAAATATGGTGGCTCCTTTTAAACTAAGTGAAAGTCCAGGCATTTAAGCACATTGGCACACACCCATACCTGTCTTGCCAGCTCCTGCCTCTGCCTGCAGTCCCCTTAACATGGCCACATGTCTTCGGTAGCAAAGGTGGCTTGGGAGAGAAGGTGGGGGTGATGGGACCTGTCTTAGCTTGGTGCAGTGGTGATAGAACACAATTTTACTCCCTGTTGTCCCTTGGTGCATCTCAGCTCTGTCTCCTGCCCATGGGAGGCTGGTTGAGATGTGAGGCTTCATGGAAAGGTGCCATGTGTGGAAAGGAGAAGCTATTCCTCCGGAGAGGCAGCTCTGCTTCTCGTGGGTAGAGGTGTCGTTGTCTCGGGGGGATTTTCTCCAGACCAGCCCCATCCTTCGTGCTTTGATCAATGGAATTGATGAGCAAAGACCTTGCAGAGGAGGGCTGAGTGGAGACCTGATGACTGTCCAAGGTAGAGACAGATCCTGTTTCTCTCTGCTCAAAAAGTGCAGTCTCTGGGTCAGCCAGCCGGCTTGGTCACCTTATGCTAGTACCAGGGCTCCTGCTTATGCTGGCACAAAGACAATTTCGGCTCTGCTTGGGGGATAGGGAGGTCATTTTGAAGCCCACCTTTGCTCCACTGTGTGAAATTGCATTGAAGTCATTTGCTGTTTTTTGCTAAGCTTTGTTTTCTTGAAATCCAGGCAAGACATTTTAATGAGTTGGAGGGAAAGAAGAAATCCCATTAGAGTGCAAGAAAGCTGGAGGCAACCAGGGATCCTTGACACCTCTAAGGCTGTTTAGTGCTGAATGAGCTCCGAGTTGGTGTTATAAACTCTTGCTCTTTTGATTTGCAGATGTGCAATAAGGTTTTCTTAAAATCCAGCCTCTGGGATAAAGAGTCTGCAGGAGTATCTCCTTTTTCATTTAAAAGAGTTACAAAAATAATTGAAATGTACACGAAAGCTTAGGAAACTGTAGGAGGGGTATTTTTCATTAGAAATGGTTCAAGTTCCTTCTTTTCCTGCACGGTGTTGAAAGTGTTTGCTAGAGCCAGTGTCCAAAGAGGAAAGGTATTTGTTAAGAAAATGTATGTTTTCCACTGTTCGCTGGAGGAAGGGAGTATATTTTTTGTCTGCCTTCTGGGAAAACTATTTTCAGATGAGCTCTGTGCCTCCTGAGGGCAACGAGGAGGATTTAGCCTCTTCGTGGCAGCGGCTTGGCTGACTTTTGTTTGCGCAGCCGCTAATGGATGGCAAACACGGGGGGATGCAGGTGCCTCTGCTTCTCTGTTTGCAGGAGGAGGCCATCTCCCAAGGAGCAGATCGTGGTGACACCGTCCTTTGCGACAGTTGGCATGGAGACCACGCAGCTCACCGAGGAGAACGCAGACTTTGCCTCACGGGACCGCTATCACCAGTCCTCGCTTATCAGCAGAGAGGAGTTTGGGAATCAATTCCAGTAAAGGACACGCAAAAAAAAAAAAAAAAATTAAAAAAAAAGATCAAGCCATGACTTCAAAAAGCATTTAGAAATGCTAATGGCTGCCATGGTGCCTTGTGAAATACTTGAATATATATGGAAAGGATGTGAATAGTTATTTATAGATTCGAGGCTTGTTTGTTTATGCAAACTACAATATTGCTGGGTTTCAAATCTTACCCAAAATGAGGGGAAAAATATGCAAATGAAAGGGCCAGTCCAGGGAAGTGATGAGTTGCTGAGGACAAGTGTAATCCTTTTAAAGAATTCAATTATAAGCACTGTTGAGCTCTAAAGACCATCACTGCTTCTAAAAGCTTACAACACCCCATTTCTAACGTCCTCTGGGTGACTGGGGACACTCTGTGCTGGGGAGCGGTGACCTCGGCAGCAGGAGCCAGGGCCCAGCTCCCAGCTGTGCCACGGATGGATCTGACCTTCCAGGTCAATTCACTTCTCCTCTCGGCGTGAATTTGCCTGCTTGTAATACAGTAATTTTCTACCTCAGCATTTCAATTTCCAAGGTCTTAGAAAGTACTTTAAGGCATTAGACAATAGGCCAGAATCAGTGGCAAGTGCAAGGAGATTATGAAATATATTCACAACTGGAATGGCACATTTTAATGCGGTATAATGACCTCTATTGTAAAACTGTGAAATGATGTCTTAGAAGCTGTTCATTGTGATTTCCCACATCCTTTCTGACATAACATCTGGGTCCTGACAACACAGCTGGGTCCAAATAGAGCATCTCCTGGCTGAAGGGACAAATGATTCAGAAGTGCCTTAACAAAAGATGTTTAGCCTCATCTTTTCTAATTTTGCTTTAAGCCCGTGCCATGGTGAGCTCCCAGAAGGAGCCATTACTCCTGCTGCCATGATTTGGGATGCAGGAGGTTCAGCGAGGGATGCTGCAGGATTTCCCGAGCAGACCTTGGGGTTGGTGGGCAGTGGTGGTGGGGTGAGGTCTTGCATGAATGCCCCTGTCACCATTGCCCAGGGAGGTGTGAAGGAGGGCTTGGGGTTGGGGCAAGCCCCAGCAGCACAAACTGTTCTGATGCTAAAAGGAGGGGGAAATCACTGCCTTTCACTTCCTTTCATCTCTGAGCATTTCAGCCTGTAGATTATTTATTTCTCCTTCTGTGCAATAAAATCTTGAGACACCAGGAACTCTTCTCCATGCTTGTATGGGTGTGCCTGATGCCTCTGAGCACCGTTCCACCTGCCGGCACCCAGTGCCCTGGCATTACCAGCCGGGGGGGGACTCCCTGTCCCATCTCATGCTCTGACCAGCTACAGCTTTGGCTCTTCCAGTTTTCTTACAGAGGGAAGCAAAGGACGCTTTCTGCTGAGATGAAGAAAAGAGCTGCAGAGGGAAGTTACGCTTGTGTGGCCAGCTCTGAGCCACCTCAAATCAGTTGTTCGGTGTTGGAAACGCTCTTTCCAGGGTTCCTTCCTTCTATTGCTTTTTTGCCTTTGGTTTCTAAAGAGTCTGGATCTGTTGTGAGGATGTGGCTCCATGCTGAAGCTTCCCCTGGGTTCCCTATGACCAGTGGCTCCAGAGGAACCTTCCTGGGCTTGTAGCATCCTTGATGTTGGCAGCTACTGCAAACTTCAAACACACCTTGGTGTTGATCCAACACTGGCAAGGCGCATGGTGCTGTATTACCCCTGTTAGAGCTTGATACACAACCATAATGCTGTTACTGTAAGAATCTTGTATTTCATAAAGTCCTGTTGCATCAAAATATGATGGGGTGCCTTCCCTCCCCAGACCGGTGTTGCCCAGCCCTGTGTTTCTCTGTAGCTTGAACAAAAGAAAACCCCAGAGCACAGCATGAAGTGATTAATGGGCAGAAATTCCTGGGTTAACTTCCTTGTCAGCTCCTAAACAAAATTTAGTTCCCTTCTTAAAATACGGCAGCAGTCAGGAGATCCAGAGAGGGAGGATGGGGAAGGTCCCTTGGCCATACTGGGAAGGTGCCCCACAGTTTGCTTTCAGCCGACTAAGTCTGCAGCAGCCATCCCCTTCCCCTGCCACCACCGTCCTGCCCCTTTAGCTCCAGCTCCCTTTGCACCCGTAAGTCCTGTGGAACAATTTTGGTGGTGTTCACCTGCTGGTGAAGCCTCGGCTGGCTGCTGGAGGAAGACTGTTCAGAGGGCTCTGAGGTGAGAGGGATGGGGCCCTGGAAAAAGGCAGTGGTGGGGCTGGCATGAGCGCTGGATGGCAATAGCTGCCACCGGGACCTGGCAGCAGAGGAGATGCTCTGCAGAGCACATCGTGCTGGTGGTTTCTGGGTTTTGTGCTCCACGTGTGCTGCTGGGGAAGCTTTTCTACCTCCTCCACTGGCACCACCACCCCGGCAGGAACCAGCTCCCTCCCTCCATCACCTGGTAAGTACAGGCACCTGGTCCTTCCCTCCCCTCCTATCCCCAAGGGAGGAAGGCATGGCACAGGGCTGGTTTCCTTGCTGCTGTTACAGGTTGTGAGTAGAGCAACTGTCCCGTTTAATGCTTGAAAAGGGATGTGCTGATCTTTCCCAGAGTGTTAGCTTTGGCATCGTGAAAGGTAAGAGTGGAGGGACTTTGCACATCAAAGCTTTTCCAGCGAGAAAGAGCGAGCAGTTGCGTTGCCAAAGATCGGGGTGTCCTGTCAAAAATGTCTGTAGCTTCTGAAGCACTCTAAAAAAAAAAAAAGGGGGGGTGTGTGAAATTAGGGGTAGGAATTTATCAGCTTCAAATTTATTGGTGAATGGGTTAATGCTGCTGGGAGTGGGAATGTGCTGCTTTCACACCCCCGGGAGCCAGGCTGTGGCTCCAGATGGATGCTGCAGCTTTCATGAAGTTTCAGGTTCCCTGAAGGTTGGTTTGGGACCCAGGTCTGAGCATCCTACGTCCCATATAGGTTGCAGCTTGGTTAATGCCATTATGAAAAGGCCCTCATATCTTCTACACTTTGGAAACTTTGTTATGATCTGTAATTACTTTCCCTTCAGTTGGAAATTTGATTTTTTTAAGTTAAATTATTATGTAAAAAATGAGAATGTTTTGCAATGGGTCAGGTTATGAGAACGTTTGCTTTTGAGAGAGATGTGGATGTAAAAGCTCTGGTTTTGTTTCTTTTTGAAGACTCCGATTGTAAACTGGTGGCTCCTGTGTTGACGGCTTCCTTTGCAGAACATACAAGCACAGAAGACAGTGGAGGATAAATATTTTATGACTGGCCTTGCAGTAGTGCCTGGGAGCTCATGCTGCCTCTGTGATCCCACAGCACTAAAAAGGTCCAGAAATCAGGATCTTCTGCTTCAAAAAACTTGCATCACAAATAGTCAAATCTAAGAATGGGCAGGAGAAAAGTGGTGTTGTGTTGTGATATTGGCATTAAGAGACAGCTCCTCAGTTGGTATAAATTGTCATAATCCCCCCCTGGATCTGCCTGTGCATCCCGTTAGGAGTCTGCACAGGGAGAACCAAGCTTCTTAAATCCATAGTTTAGCTCAAATACATCTTTTTTTTTTTTTTTTTTTTTTTCCTGCCCTGATGGCTCTCTCTTGATCAGCTTTGATTTTCCTTTATTTTCCTTGGTTGGTCTTTATTGTGTACAGCGGCCAAAAAAATTCACACACCAGCCACGGTCACTTATTCATAGCAGATAGTCGTGATCGCAGTGTTGAAGTAGGAGAGAATGATGAAAAAGTATGAAATTATGCTTCTGTGTGTGGCCAAATTGAGGCACCAGGGGCTCTCTGTGTCCCGGGAGCTGCTACGGTCTTGCCCATGCACCTCGGGTTGTTCAGACAGACAGAGGTTCTTAAGCAGCATCATACTTACACCTGCAAGGCTGGAAGAGATTTGCTGAACCCCAGGAGCCAGCCCGGGATTAACATTTAGACTGGTAGGAAACTGAGGTTATTTGAATGATTGCCCTTGCCTGGTGAATTTTAGAAAAGGCAATTACTGGGATAAGAGAGAGAAAATTTTGTAGACAACCTATCGATTTGGTAACTTCATATAAATGGAGTATCTAATGGACTTGCTTATAGTGCTGATTTCACAGTGATGTGAGCGCCAGATTTGGCATAGCATCACTTCAACCTGAGATGAGGTGAGACCTCAACAGTAACAGCCTTAAAAGCTATGCACGAGAGGCTCCAGCAGCAAACTGCAGGCTAGAAAGAAATAGCTTTAAAGTCCATATGGCACAAGAGAGGCTCCTTTCCTTTCTGCCTTCTGCTCCTTGTGACTTTTTTTCATGTGATTTTTCATGCTCTCCCCTCCCAATACCTGGGATTTGCCCCCTCGTGTGAGAGTGAATGGAAGCAGGGGCACACTCCTAGAAACGCAGCGGGCAAAGAGCGCACCTGTAACTTTAACGGATCCAAATGTTGCTTATAAACTTTGTCAGGGGCTTGGTTTTGGATTTTAAGGGTGCTGCTGTGCGGTGTTTTTCTCGGCTCTGAAATATCCAGGGTTTTCTTGATGCGTTCCAAACCAGAGCTGGCTGAAAAAGGTCCTAAAAGAAATAAATCAGAAATTCAGAATTGCTTCTTCCCAGCAAGATTTAAATGGCTGATTTTTTTTTTGTTATTCCCCCCCCCCCCCCCGCCGCCCGGTGCCGGAGGACCACGGGGCCCGAGGAGGTGTGAGATCCGCCTGCCCGCCCGGGGCTGCCCAATTTTTCCACCGGAGAAGGTAGGGAGTGATGGAGGAGGGAGCATCAATCATGGCAGGGACCCGGGCGAGAAGCATCTTTACTTCGCCAGCTCTGTTATCAGAGGAGAGCTGACAAATTCTTATCTTTCCTCCTTGCAAAGGGAAGATTAGCTTTTTTTTCTTTCCCCGCGCGGGGGGCTGATGCTTAATCTTGTGTCTTGTAACTTTTTTTTTTTCCCCCCCCCCCCCCCGCCCCCCCCCGAAAATATGGGGATTTATTTCCATGACAGGATTCAAAATGCAACGTCATCTTAATTTGTTGTGCATTTTTCTGTGAGGGACGAGAAGAGATCACAAGATCCGTATCCATCCTGACCTCCAAATGTCAAGTGTCTGGAAAAAGCAGCTTCCAAGGGAGGTACAAGGCAAGCAGTTCTTGAGAAAATAAATCAATAAAGTACCACCACAGCCCCAAAATTTCAAGAAAAATGGTCAGGTACTAAGTGCCTTTTGGATGATTGGGATCCATTAATGGATGGCTTATGGTATCAAGAGGAGATGGGCAAGGTAATTAATTATTCAGTTAGGAACTATCTGTCCGCTTCGGAAACTCAGGACTTTTAATAACAAATTCCAGGAGTAAAAAAATACTCACTTTGTACCTTAATTCATCATCAGCTTAAAACTTGTCTGAGGTTTATGAGCCTGATCCAAGTTTTGGACAGATCTGGGCTGAGTTTCAAGGGAGCTGCAGGAGTTTCATGACATTGGCCGGGGCTGCGAAAGGCTCCTACGGCACCGGAGAGAAGGGACCGGTCAGTGTGATCCTGACGAAGTGCTACGGAGATGCCTCTTCTGTAGAGGCCCCTGGGGTAGGGCCGGGGGGGGGGTTGGTGACTTCAGACTGAAAAAATGCAGAACTGGGCAAATTCGGTCATGTGTCTCCAGCCCCCTGAATCTGAAAAGTGGAAATCAAGGTGAAGTAAAAACAAACAATATATTTCCTGCCCCAAAACGCGGTGATGGGTGGGATTCAATTAATCAATGTGTGTTATCAATCATGTTTTATACAGTTACGTTTTAAGGCTTCCTGTGTCGCTGTTTTTTTGTTTGATTATTTATTTTTCTCTTTTTTTAGTTCTGTTGTGTATTGAATGTGCTGGCTGCTTTCAGGCGGAAGCATTAAATGCATTTTATATATAATTCGGGGAGATGCTTGAGGTCACAGCCTTTTTCAAAAGGAGGATGTGGTGGCATTATTTTACATCAGGGTTTGCCTGGTTCCAATCCGACTCCTCGGGCAGGATTTCATGCATTTAAATCCCCTATTAGTTTAGTGCTCTGAAGGAGGGAGAGGAGCAGCCCTCAGCCTGGAGCTGCCCTGCAACTGCTATTAGCGGGATGCAGCAGCGAAGCGTGCAGTCCTGCCACGGGGATAAACAACTCCAGGACCACGTGAGGAAAAGCCAAGCGCCGGTGGCCTTCACTGAGCCCTTGTGGCTCCACGCAGCCACCTTCATCCTGCTGCAGTGCATCCTCCTCCTGCTCCCGAGCCGAGCTCTCGTGCTCCACACAGCCACCTTCATCCTGCTGCAGTGCATCCTCCTCCTGCTCCCGATGCTTCTTCCCCAGCCTTGGAGGAGGGTGTCTGATGGTGGTATCCCCAACACACTACCCTCTGCAGCCCCAAATGATAAAAAAATCCACTTAAAAAAAAAAAAAAAGGGGGGGGGGAGATTTTTAATTTTTTTTCCTTGTTTTCATGTGGCTGTTGAAGCTGGAGCTCAAAAGTATCAGTTGTAAATGGTGCTCTAGGCAATCCTACTTTATTTTTTTTTTTCCCCTGTTTTCATGTGGCTGTTGGAGCTGGAGCTCAAAAGTATCATTTGTAAATGGTGCTCTAGGCAATCCTACTTTAGCAGGGGAGTTGGACTAGGTGATCTCTAAAGGTCCTCTCCAACTCTTGACAATTCTGTGATTCCGTGATTCTTTGGTGCAGGGATATTCCTTATGAAGCAGTGAAGGTCGGAATAAAACAACACGGCAGGGAAACACAGTAGCTTTAAATTTACAGCCACTAAACCTTGGCAAATTGAGCACCTGGAGGGGGAAGGGATTGCATTTGGGAAGTCTGAAACTGCCTGAATATCGGTGTTTCCTTCCAGGTGCTTGTGAACAATGTGCTGCTCGTGACTGGAGCTGCGACAGAGGGAGGAGAGAGATTATTTTCTCCTGGTAAATACTGGTTTCAACGCATGGGTTCACGCTGTGGGGCTTTTGCCCCAGCTGGGGTGGGTGAAGGCAGCAGCCTCACCGCTGCCATGTGTGTTGGAGGCTGCAACGGGCCACCCTGGGCACCACCAGCCGGGTGGTCGGTCGGTTTTCCCACCTATATTGAGCTGTGCTGGGATGCAACTGGTTCAAGGGCAGCTTGGGGGTCTTTGGTCAGCATTTCTTGGTGCTGGTGGTGCACACAGGTGTATGGTCCTCATGGTCACCCTCCTGATGGTCACAAATGACCCGTTTGGTTCAGAAATGCAGTGTTACAGCAGCTCGGGTGTGTTTAATGGCAATTTGGGCATTACCTGCCCCCCCTGCAGAGGGGGTTAATCCAGGTCAACACTGCTCACAGCTCCATAGGACGTGCTATGGATGCACCACAGGGGCACGGGGAGATGGACCTGTTCCATACAGACACAGGTTGTTCTTCCACCAAGGTTTGTTTTGTATTTTCCTGCTTCTGCTATTGCTCTCGATGCGCCTGTTGAGTAAAACACTAGGAAGGATTTGTGGAGACCTTTTTTTTTTGGGAAAACCATTCGATCCCGTGCTTCCTGCTGCTTGGATTTACAGCTTGGGAGGATGCAGTAAGAGCAGGAGCTGCTATGTGACTTAGATGTTGGGGAAGTCTCTTGGGAAAGGTGGGCGGATAGGGATGAGAGCTGTAGGCTCGGTGTTATGGCCCTCAACCTTGCGAATGAGTGGATGCAAGAGCATCCATTTCACATCAAGGCTGGGCTTAGCTTTGATTTGCCCCACGCAACCCTGATGGCATATCACTGCCCTCAGAGAGGTTTCTCTGCCCCTGATGCCTCACCTGTATCACACAGTTAAAGGATGTAGGAACGTGTCAGATTTGCTTGTTGGCAAGACTTTCATTCCAGAGACTAACAAAAGTTTCCAAAGAATTATAATTATTACTGATATTATCTTAGGAATCAGTAACGTGGAGTCCTGCATTTCATGTATAAGGATATCCCTGGGTATTTGAGCTGCTGCCCTATGCTCCCTGCGCCGTCTCCCAGAGTATCAGAATACTTCACAGCCCTTCACCTGAGCTTTAACTCAGTCTCGTGGTAAACGTTGCTTAGTTTGTGTACTGGTTTCTCCATCTTATCGATAAGGAAGCTTTTTTTGCACAAGCTACTCCATAAAGAGTGGATAAATACATTGACATAGGCTGAAGGAACCTCAAGATGTCCTGTGTGGATCATGTACCTCGATGGTAACTACCAGTGGCTTCTGGGTCACTCAGGTGTTTTCTTGGATGTTTACTTGTATAATTAGAAGTGTCATCATGATTTGTTTGTACTTCATTTCCCAGCATGTAGTACTTCCCCGACTGACAGAAGCGTGGCTGGTTCCTTGAGTTTAAGCAAATGTGAAGCAAGATGATGCCAGAAGTTGTAGGGAGTAGAATGGAGACTGGGTTGATAGAGGGGTGCCTCAAAGGGCTGCCTTTTCCAGGGCTTTCATCTATGATCATGCAAGCATCAAAGTAAGGATTTCCAAGTGTGCTTCACTGCAGAGCTGTGTGGGAAGGTGCAGAAAGCGTTTGAGAGAAAAGCACAGGAGGAGAAGAGGCCACGTCCTGTGCCTGGGTAAAGCCAAGGTCATTGACGTGCTGGCGTGGGCTCATCAGTGCCACCTTTTGGCTGGAAAGAGGCTCTCGGGAGAGTTTGTGTTGGTCATCGGCTTTTGCTGGGGGGAGAAATGGGGAGTGGGGGGCCTGTGGACAGGATCTGGGGTGCGCCGGAGGTTGCAGCTATCTGGATATGGTGTACTGTCACTTGTCACCCCCCTTGGAAAGGGCAGGTTGTGCTTGACTTGTGGAAATTAAGCCTGATTCTGAAATAGCCCAAGGGTCCAGGAGGATCTCAGAGGGGAGAGACTGCCCAGGACGGGGTTATTTTGGGCAGGGGTGTTGAATGGGGTGCTTTGGGGTGCCAGCAGCCCTGGCAGAGCCCCACCTGAGCTCGGTGGCTCTGTGCTCTCGCGCGGAACCCGCAGCCTGAAGTTATGAAAGGGAATTTCCGAACAATGGAGGGAAATCCTTTGCCCTCCCGTACAGCCCACTCTGGGAAACTCACCACCGCCAGAAGCCGCGGCCTCAAAAACGCCGCGTTTTGAAAAAGAGCAGGGGGTCGGCTTCCCAACCGAGAAAAGTTTGGGAGTTATCGGGCAAGGAATTGATTTTGGTGGGAATTAAGTTTGGGGCTGTCTGGCGCTCGCCACGCTCGTCTGGAAAGAAACTTTTTGAACGGTGCAGGGCACCACACACCCATCCAGCCTTCCATCTGCTTCCGTCCAACCTGCGTCGGTCGCAGCTGGAGACACGATGCTGGACTCGATTGATCAATCAATCAATTGATAGATCAATGGCTTTGCTTCCTGGGGCGCGGGAGCGTAACGGAGTGGACAACCCCCCCGTATCCCTGCCTGGGACCCCAGTTGTTTTGACCCGCTCCCCCCGACCTCCCTCTCCCCGAAACGAAGCAGGGTAGCGCTGCCCCTAAAAGCAAAACGCCTTTTTTGTTTTCCGCGGGGGGTGGCCATGCCGGGAGCGGGATGGTGGCGGTACCCGG